GGAGTTCTCCTTTGGATATATCATGAGTAAAGAGAGTCTGATTCTGAAGTTATGAAATTAAAAAAAAAAATTTTTTTTTTCACGTCTTTCTCTTCAAGTGATTCCGGTATTGGGCTCTGTGATGACAAAGGTATTGAATGTGATGTGCTGTTAGAACCAAATACGCCGTGGGGCCCCAAAACAGGAGAAATCAATGCTGTGAGTGACTGTTAGCTTATTCCCCCTTCTTCCTGATAATGAAGATTCTTACGGAGACACTTTGAAGAATTCATTAGACCACTTTATTTATATATACACATTGCTGAAGGAAGAAGCACATGACTGAGCGCTGGAGAATAGCATAGACTAGTCTGGGTAGAAAACGTGTGGTGAAAAGGCAGAGCTCTTACAAAGGCTGTCAGAAATATTTCTGTAAAACAGAAGCAATTCTCCATATATCTGTGCTTTACAGACCACTTGAAACCTGATGATGTTTAAGGGTCCAGTCATACTCCAGCATACATCGGGTGGTGAATGTTATTTAAATAATTGCTGCCTTTGATTTATCTGCTGATGTGTCCAAGTCTATGTGGCTCTTGTAAACCCATTAATGAAGAGCAGTAATATCTTCTTTTCCAGATGCAAAAGATCCTACTTTCCAGTACTATGATGTATATTTTACTATGTATATGCCAAATCAACAGAGTTGCTTTCTAAGTCAAGTAGAAGTAGACTGTTTGTAAAATTACCTCTGGTTTAAAGAGCTCCTTCATGTAGAGATGAGTTTACAAAGTTTTTCACCCATTGTGGAGCTTCTGTTCCGGTAACTTGGCAGTCCTGACAGTGGTGGGATGCTGCTGGTTCCATGAGAATTTTACACAGAGCACCAGAAGCTCCTGCTACAGATGCTGGGGGCTGTTAATATAAACTCTAATATAATTTCATGCCCAGCACTTGCTCCCCCCAGGTCTGCTTTTTCTAGTTTAAGAAAAAAAAAAATCCATGAATATCTTTAGTGCTAAGGCTAGGCAAACTAGAACATGCTTCTGAATTCACTGCATTTAATGGAATAGCAGTTCACAACCTGTTTGCATGCTTCTTCATTCCACCAAAATGGAAAGCCAAAGATGAGAGTAAGCCTTCTAGGGGCTACCAGTACAAATTGCTGTACTATTAGCATACCACTGCTATTTTGAGAATTCCACTCACCTATTTTGTCTTTTAATTATTATTAGTTCTCTAACTTATACACCTTTTTCCCCTTTTCATGACTACAGTTTCTTTCTCTGAAGAACTGGACTTTGCAGCTGGTTAGTAAAATATTTTGTTCTTCTGTACTGGCAGATAATTAATTTTGATTTTTTTTGTCTTATTTTCTAAATAATTTGTAGAAAAAGATCTTTTTAATTTTGCTTTAATTTAGAGTTTGTAGTACAGTGAAGAACTTTTAAGGAATTATAAAGTATGTGTGAAGTGCTACTTTGGCCTGCATAAAGATGAAATATTCCTTTTAAACATTATTCCAAATGACTACAAACAATAGACGTGCGGCACATGCATCATTTTTTCATAGTTCATTAAGCTGATAGAGATTTAAGTGTTCAAAAGTAGTATTTTTAAGTGTCTGTCTTTTTCGTGGCTCATCTGAGACGCTTCATGTCCTAAGGACTTTAAATTGAACCTTTTTTTTTTTTTTTTTTAATTGTGTCAAACTGAGCACCCAAAACCATCGGAAAGAATTGCTGATCATTCTGTCTGCTGGTTAACATTTTATGGTTCTTTCATGTTGGTGGAGCTGGAAAGCAATAAGTCAATTAAAGCGCATTTGCACCTTCTTTATTGCAAAAAGCTTTATCAGGGTTGGGGGCCTAGCCAAATGCAGAGGATTCGTTCTTCCAGCAACATAAAGTGACGTTTGGTTTACTAACTATTTCTATATGCAAATACTAGAGAGAGCTGCAGTTCACCTCTATAATTATGTGGCCAACTCAGATGCTTGCTACCATAATGTGAATTCTTTTATTCATTAAAAATTATATAGCCAGTAATACATTGGATACTGAAGATAGAATCATTTAATAATACAAGTTGGAAGGGATCTCTGGAGGTCGTCTTGTACAATCTCCCCACACTCAAAGCAGGGCCTACCTCAAAGTTAGATTCAACTTTAAAGCTATATCACATTGTTCAAGTTTTGAATATCTCTGAGGATGGAGATTCTACAGCTTCTAGGCAACCTTCTGATGTTTGGCAAGCCTGAGGAAACATAAATAAAAATATTTATCAAAACATTTTAAGCAAAGCTAATTTGAAATTAGTTTCTCAATATTTGAGAATCGTGTTCTCGGACCTAACTTTATACACAGTCACCTCGCTCAGATACAAAGCTAGATTTGAGGACGGCTCCTTAGGACAGATTTAACATATTTAATGGGAATCAAGCTGCATTTATTTTCTGTGGCACTCTCCTCCCACTCATTAGAAACAGCAGTCATTGTTATCTGAAGAAGAGGAGTATACCACTGGCTCAGAGGTCACTGAAGATGAAGTGGGGGATGAAGAAGAAGTATGCAGAAAACCAGGTACAATTACGGCTGTCTCTGTAGTAAACCTCCCTGGAATTTAGAGATAGGAATTCAAGGCAAGGCAGCAGAATTCTTCTTGTGTAAGCAAACTTTAAAGGTTAGAATTTTTTAAATCAAAAATAACATTTAAATTTTATTTCTAGGTTTGTCTGTATTTAGATACAGACTAACCTGCTGCTCTCAGTGTTGTCAAAAAAACACTGGCAAATAAGGGAAGTTGCAACTATTCAGATGCTGAGATGTCCTCAAGGGTGATCGAGGGCATATTTTGCAGGAAAGACTATCAAGCAACTTAAGAATTCTCACCCAGGCTAGTGTTGGAGGAGAAATGCAGTAGCTACATGCCTGTATTTTCTGTATGCTTGTTTGCAGAATGCTATTCCTAGAGTTGTCTGCATTGAAGATAAGCTCTATAAAATCTAATTTGTTTTTCATTATGATAAGGGGTTTAGGAGTATGGAAAGCCAAAAAGCAGCTTCTCCTTTCCACCCTAATAATGAGCCATTTGAACTGAGGTAGTTCTTTGGGTTTTTTGCCTTGACATGAAGGGATTGGGGTGCACCAATTCATAAAAGACATTGACTGAAAACATTGTAGTCTACCTTTAACTTGTTGAGTTTGACATCTCCAACACCTTTGAGTTTGTTGATTAAATTAATATTCTCAGAGATGTAGTGTGTATGTGCACCTGCTTTTGAATTTACAACAGAAATTTGGGCAGTTCTGTGTAACTGCATTTTAAAGACGTATACTTCAGTTCATGCATGCTTCTGATGGGAAAGTGTTTGAGTGATCTGTGAGTGTTACTAACATGCCTGTAATATCAACAAAGGAAAAATATCCAGTCTAATTACACTGCTTGTGAAGAAGTAGAGGGAAGAAATCCTTTTTCAGCTGTGTAGTTGAGAGATTTCAAATATCTGCGATTGTGCTTGTTACTAGATATTGCATTAATTAGCAGGGAGAAAGGAGAAAGTAAGGAAATTCTGCAAGCACCCAAAGAAAGTGGTTTCTTCACCTAGTGTTCAGAAAAAGGAGAAGCCATCTGACAAGGTAAAATCTTGAGTTTTGAGCCGTCCCCTCTGGGTTGAGTAATGAGGAATACTCTTAAATTGTAGACTTCCTCTTAAAACACACTTTTCTTTCTTTAGTCAAATTCCCGAGATGCATCTCCATTCATGTAAGTAACTTTCAAAGTCCTCGAGACCGTATTGTAGTACATCCTTCTTTGTAAACGGTTACTAATAATATTCTGTATGCATCTTTTTTTTTTTTTCTGACCAGTGTGAGTATGCAGCAGAACAAATGGGATGCCTCCAGATCATTAAGATTCAACCAAGATGCTCAAAGAGAAGACGGTCCGTTTTTGCATCGGCTTAGCTTTTGTAATATTAATGTTATGCAAAGAAAGTTATTTTTTTCGTATAAGAAATGGCTGCTGTTCTTAAAATACAATTACCTAGAAACTTTTAGGTTGGATTTACTCTTAGATATAACGAAACTCATTTTTCATAGCTACCTCTGATTTGGTAGAGAATAGGCTTCTACTAGGCTAATTGTTAGTGTTTCAGCTGTTTCCAAACCACACAGCAATTTCAGGCTCTTCCAAAATGTACAAAAGTATTCATACAGCTATAAACTGCTCCTGAAGATGTTACTTTAGGATTTGATTGGCACTTATTAGCAATCTCATGTGTTCTACAGGAGAAAAAAAAATCTTTGTGGCTGGAAAACGGAAAGAAAATCCACCATTTAAAGCCACACACTTTGCGTTCACTCTGAATGAAAACTAAATGGACAGTCTTGGGTCCAATTGACTAGAAGGCAATTGGAAGGCATTGGGAGGGAGTTTCAATTTTGCAGGAGGAAAAAGAAAAATTCTGTCCTGAGTGTACGTTAGGGGTTTTTTTATTCTTTATTTGAAGTGTCAGTATATAATCTAGAGAGATTATAGGGATAGTGCTGATTTGTGACATCTGTTGGCTGGACAGGTATGTTAATAATTTGTTCTCACATCCCTGTGCAGTTTGTTGTGTGTGCAGATAGATACAGGTATACATGTTCATTTGCATCTCCTTCCCAGTCTCTGACTAAAAGTATTCGGGATTATAGTTGTTCTGTTTTTTTGTTTTGTTTTTTTTCTTCCCTAATCTCTCCTGAAACTCTTGTGCATTTTTGCTGTTTTGAAAACCAGTGCCTTGGAAGCATTCCTATAGATTTTGATCTCAGTGTAGTGCCTCGGGCTGATGCTGGTATCTGCTGAGAACACAACTGAAGCAAAGTTAGGCATCAGGATCTAGAATGTAGGTTATTCAAGATTCTTGTATGAGCTGAAAAGAAAGCTACTTTTGCAAAGAGGGTATCATTAACATTCTTCTGTCTCTTGTATTCAGTAGCAAAAAAACCCCCTGTGTTCTAAGTATTATTTCTTACTTCTGACAGATCAGAGAAGAATGTCTGAGATTACAGGGCACTTAATAAAAATGCGACTGGGAGACCTTGATCGAGTCAAGTCAAAAGACAGTAAAGAAGTAAGGCTTATCTTGTAAAATAGTAGTGTTTACAGAATTTAAGTGAGTCTTAGTAACAAAAATACATAATACAAATTAAAATACCATCTTTTTAACGCTTAAGATTAAAAAGTACCTTTGATAAGGCTTCATTTTGTACTAAAAACTGTATTTAGCCAAAAAAGATTTTTTTTTTTTAATAGGTTAAATAATTGGTAAATTTCACTGCCTTTAAAAACCTGGAATGGAAAATAGAGTGGATTTGAAGGGTTTCAGTACTATGTGGTGGTAATGAAACCACGTATGTTTTAGGTTTTAGTGATTTTTATGCGAAGTCACTGATTAAATTGGAATAATTTCACAACTTGATTTTCTGCATTGCAGTATGCAGGAGGCATTTATTCTAGGCTCGAAGCTCAGGTAAAGGCCTCAGCACAAGTCAGTGCACGACAAAACAACACTGAGAAGAACGCAAGGTAAGATATTAAAATGAAACGAAAAAGCAAAATGTGAACTTTTTTCTAAACACGCTTGCCACGTTTCATACGCGTTTTGCGTCAGCATCCCTTCCAAGTAGGTTAACTATGCATGATGTAAAAGCTTCCCTTATCAAATTACGCTAGAGCTAAGAGAACGAAGCTCTTGTACTCAGTACAGGTATCCCGGCAGAAAGGCAACTTTATCAGTAATAGAGATGGATCTTTTTTTCCTCTTCTCTGGGAAGACGCTTTAACATGAAAGTGATTTCAAACAAATACTGAACTAGAGAGCTGACCTGGCAGTAGTAAAAACAAATTTCTAGCAGTAATAATCTACAAATATGTTTCTTATGTGTTCTTAATCCAGGTCAAAATCCCGTTTTGGTCAAGGTCGTCCAACATAAGGACTCATGAAGAAAATATAGCCAAAATACATTACTGCTTCCTGAAACTGTACTGTACTCTGACATATGGAGAACGCTTATCTCTGAAAGCTTTCCTGTGACTTATTTATTACTTTAAGCCATGTAAATTATTTTGTGCGATAAATGAATGCAAATCCATTAAGGTCTGTACTTATTTTAGTTGTAAATACGCTATTTCTTAAATTTAAATTTAATTTTTTTAGGCTATTGTGTTAAGTTGCATAGAAAATATTTTATAAATTACAGAGTTAAATTATTAGACTATTTATGGGGGAAGACGTAAATATGCCTATGGTATGCTAGAAATACTAAAAAGGAAAAAGCAAGACTACTGAATTCTGAGTACAGTCAGCAGTGTTAACACAAATCACCTACAATATTTATTTTATATAGTATTTAATGGCACATTTTAGGTCAGTCCTCTGGGGATTTGCATTTAGGATTTGCATTTAAAGTGAGTGGAATTCCCTGTTACTTAGACTAGTTAGAGCAAAATTTAAATGCAGTTTTGAGGCTTTCTTCCATATCGCTACACAACTCTCATTTGTGTGAAGGTGGGCAACAGGTGGGATCTAGACCTCCAAAGATGATTTAAATGCAGTGATGATGCTGTCTTGCACCTTGAATATGAAACACTTACTTTACTTGTATGGAAAATTAATACTGATTATTACTTCCTATCTGACTCCTCTTGCGCAATACAATATCTTGTTCATTCTAACGTCCAGACCTTAGGAGGCAAAGCACTTCCGTCCCTTAATGACGCTATGCCACTAAATTTTGTAGCAAATGTGTTATTAATTTGGCCTCTCTTAACTGAGAGGAATCATTATGAGGGTTTGTGCATATTGATCTTTGGATCTAGTTACCTTCTGAAACCTGCCTGAATAATGCTGTTCTGAAGTCAGATGCACTTTCAAGTTTTTTTGTTTGGAGCAATAGAATACAAGTTTGTCTACACATACAATTCAGGGCTACCAAAATGAAATAACTTGCCTAGAAATTAAATCATGTCTAAGCAAAGAAAATGGCAATAATAATGGCGGAATTCAAGAAAACACATTCTGACTTTTTGAGGTAGAAAGAGTGCTCAGGGAAAGCTTATTCCAGACCTCAGCTGTACAATAAATTGCGAGTTTGGAATTAAGTCAGCAAGAGGCTGATGTGGGGAGGGGTGGGGGGGAGGGTATGAGGTGGGGAGTCATCCTTGAAAGGCACTCTTTTCTCTCTTCAGGCTTTTTTGTTTGTCTTGTTTCTTGAGGCTTTTTAATTGGCATTAGAAGATAAGGATAGCAATACTTGAAAATACTGCTTTCCAGGTAGAAGATTTTTATTCAAACAATAAAAATGAATTTTGTTTATTATGTGTTTTGTCCAACACTACAGCAAATTCAGAGCCCAGTGAAACCAACATGTAAAACTGTGGATTTCAGTCGCCTTGATCTGAGGCAGGAGAGGTGGCTTTGCAGGAATGCTTTAACCTGTATCAAATAAATAAGGCTTTACTAATGCCTCAGGTCTATTTGCAAGTAGTAATGCAGTTCTAAGCATTTATAGTAAACACTGAAAGGCTGATTGCTGTTTCCTGAAAGAGGAAGTATTTAAAATCCACCAGGTTCAAAAATGCAATAGACAGCGTTTTGCTACAACTTTGTGATTTCTGGTAGGGGATTGTTCCAAATTCCACAGGTAAACTGTGCTATGAAAGTTGCAGGCTTGCATGTATATGTGTTTAGTTTTCTTAGAACTACTGACTAGGCAAAGGGGGAAAATCCCACTGGGTTGGTTATGGGGGAAAGTGCCGGTTTTACGTGCCAGTATTGTAATATTTTACTCAGAAATGGTTTTGAGCAAATGAGAGTAATATATATGATGTGCGGTCTATCTTTTAAGTATTTTCCTCCCTTGCCAACCACCTTGAATTTTTATCTTGTATTAATTTTGAAATCTTGTCTTGGTTTAACGGAAATAAATGTTACTGGTTTAAGAAATGTGTGGGGTTTTTTGTAGATATTTGTAAAAACTAAATAAGTGCATAAATATTGCTTTATGGTCTCAGTCACTTTGTCTGTTTGTGATTGCAGCCTCATGGTAAAGATATCTTATCTGTCAAGAACAGTATATGGATGAATGCTGAGGTACTCCAAATCTACAACAACTTAACAGTATTTTTATCTGAGTTGAGTTTTGAAGCTGGATTAAAAGTTCATGACTGAGCTGCTCTACAAGTGACCCAAGTATGCAAAATGTCATACCAAACTATGCTGAAACATTTTTAACTTTGCCTTCCACTGCCACAGTGCTGATCATACCACTTAAAGTTAATTCTATGAATAGGATTAGTTTCCATGATTCTGTCTTTAGAAATTACTATATGACTGTCCTGCATGAATGTCCCAGTTGGTATACAGGGAAAATTGCAGTGTGTGTTTCACTGTCGCATGTGTTGAACTCATTGCGCTGTGGAGCTGTGCCTACTTGCTCAATGGTCAGAAATCTTGTACAAACGACCAGAATTTTAAATTCAGCCATGGCAATGGTTCCAAGAATGACATGTTAAAAGTAAGCATATAGTTGCTGCTCCAGTAAGTAAACATAAAAACGTGAATAGCAGGAGCACATTTGACGTGACTGAGAGGACGCCTCTATTTGCAAAGAGGAAATACATTTTTAAAACATCATTTTCCATTTCTTTGAGTGTATACAAGTATTGTAGTGTGTTGGGCAACTGTTCCTTTGCATCAAATGCTTGCTTGAGCAATCACATGAAGCTCCTTGCTTTGCTTTAGGCACCTCCCTCTCCGGTTCTGGGCAGATGTGAAACCTTAAGGTATTATTGGCATCCAAGAGAGCAACATACATAGACAAATACCAAAGACATTCCTTCTGCAGCTGTTCTTGATGAAATCCAGTCAGCTGTATGAACTGTGCACCTATGTTCGGAATTCTGGCCGGAAAGTTTCTTTTCCTTAATCAGGAAGTAAGGAAGAGTCCACCCATAGTAAATTTGCCTTACAGCAAGAATAAATTTACTGCTGGGTCCCCTCTGGGTGACATCTGTACCAGTAAAGGAAACCAGCCAAAGGTTTTTTCATGCTTGGGGCTAAATAACAGCACAGAATGGTTGGTTGTTTCATCAACCTCACAGAACCAGCTTGAAAACTAAACGGGATAGTATGGGCTCCTCTACCTTGTTGAGAGTCACAAGGGCCTTAGATCCTAGCTCGGTGTGTGTGGTGCTGCTTTTGAAAATGGGCAACATCCTCTGGTGGGAAGGATTGTGCGCTCCCACACAGCCCTCAATAGATGCCTGGCGCCTGTCGGTCTGGTGTAGGAGAAGTGCCCATCCTACTGTTTGCCACGACTGCGTCCTGCATCCTCAGCAGGCAACGTTGTCCTCGGCTGGTTGTTGGGCTGATATATTCTGCTTACTGGCGCTCTTAAGTCCTACAGCTTCCACGAGCGACTAGCAGTTGAAGAGAAGACTGAATTACCCCTCCACCCATATGGCACATTATCCTTGACGTTACATAGCTTGTGTGGCGTTACCAAGCATCTGGTGTTAAATACGTTCCTATCCTCATCTTTCCTTGGGTACCAAGAGTAGAAAAATAAATGATCTTGATCTGAACTCTGTTCAAGCCCAGATACCGCTATGGGACATAGATGGCAATGGCAGGGACTGTCATGATGCCTCCTTATGTCTGGGCCTGGAGTGCTGATCCCTGAAAACGACGACTGAGCCAGGAGGAAGAATCCTGCATGGCAGCCTTGGGCCAGGACCATCCCAGCTAAACAGCTATTGCAGCTTGCAAAGAGTAGAAAAGAGCACTGAGTTGCATCTGAGCAGCAGTTTTCTTTCCATGCCTGCCTGCAGGTGGCCTTCAGCTTAAATTTATTTTTGCACTGGGTTTGTGTACACTAATGGGCTACCTGCTTCGGCCAATAGGTTACCTCTCCTTAGATAATGGGGGAAGTATTTCTGGAGCTGAACCCTTTATGCTCTTTTACTACTTGCCATTGAGACGAGGGTGGCAGCTTCCAGCTCTGTGTGTTGCCTCTTACGGTCTGAGGTCCTAGAAACGTTGAAGCTACTTTGCCGTACGGCATTTGGAATATCCAAAAGTGGGGCTGCATTTGTGGATTATGATTCCAGCACAGAAATATTTTCGATGGTTAAGAAGCTGCATGAGCAACTTTTCAGTAGGCATCAGCTTATGTTGCTTCTGCTCTGCTGTAGTAGCACAAATATACGCGAGGCCATTTGGTGGACAAGATCGAGAAACTTCTCTCACTGAAAAATAGCTCTAGCCCACTTGCTCTGTCATGCACGTGCACCCTCTCTCTGTTTGTCTCTCTCCCCACGTTTTTTCTTTTTCCGCTGAGGTGTTTTGTGCCTAGATCTGTCCTTTAGCTTGCTGCATAACCTCACTAAGGCTTGGCTGTCACGGAGGCAGGGAACAGCCAGGCAGGGGAGGAAAAACAAGCGGCCTTCGGTTGGCTCCAGTAATAATGCCGCTGTAATCACGGCTGGATGTGGTCTTTGTTCAAAAGAGACGGTGCTGATGATTGAATTTCTTTCAATAATTTTTTAACCCCTTCTGCTTGAACTGCTCCTGCATTTCCACTTAGATTATATGAGGCTAAGAAACTGCAATAATAATTTTTTTTTTTTTAGGTATATGCAATATCATTATCTTTTACATTTTCATGCAAACTATAGTAATTATGTTTGTTTCCACAGTGACAAAACAAGTGCTAGCACAAATATGAAAAGACCTTGGTCTGGCAGCTATTTCCTTACTGCATGATCCGTTGGCCTTTTGAATTAAAGCTATATTTACCTCGAAATAATTGAAACAAATTGTAGGATCAGCTAAATGATTTGTAGTCCTTGAAAGCATTGTGAAAGCTTTTAGTGTTCGGTTTTGGAGGAAACTTCATTGAAGTAAAATGTTTTAACTGCCTGCTACGCTTTTTCTCAACAAATACTTTCTATGAAATACTAAGCGTATGTCAGATATATGTTTATATATATACTGTTTTCCCAATAGGAGTTCTGTATTTATTCCTAGTCGAATAGACTTGTGAGGTGATACTCCAGCATAATTATGAGATAAAAAGGTGCTGGTTCCTTTATCAGATGAAACCCTGTTTAGTTTTATTTCTGAGGGAATATGTAGGTTTTTCTCATATTAGTCAGAGTATTTTGCACGTTCTAAATCTGTTAAAGTATTTGTTTTCATGTCTGTATTGTTTGCTAAAGTAAAAATAACTGTGTTACCTGTGCTGAAACAAAAAAAGTGAGATTTCCTTATTGGCTTATTTTTATTGCCCAAAGGGACTTTGATCTCGGAGGCTGGAATTGATAAGCGTGTTATATATTTTATGTATTTCTCTCAAAGTCTCATTATGATCTTCTGGTTTGTTCTGACTCAAGAATTCCTCAAGATATTAGGAAATTTTTGATATGCCAAATGATTTTTAACAAATTTTTTGTGTGATAAATGATCATCTGTCTTTGCCTGCAGTAGGATATTTTTCCTGCAGTGCTCATGGCACTTTCTAGATCTCTTGTTTTTGCTTTGATCTGTTGGGTTATATTCATCGGTCTCGATGCACAAGGTAAGTAGTTTAATTTTTATAGCAGTTTGTGAATCTACTCTTGTTGTTACTGAAATAGAACAAAAATAAATTAATTAAATTTATATAAATCCTAATCTTAGAGGTCTAAAATGCATTTATTTGTTGAGTCATTTAATAACTACCTAAACAAACAGTCTTCCCAGGGCCCATGGAAGTGGTCTGGATTTCAGGGGCACAGTGATCCCAAGTTAAAAACCATTTCTTGTATGTACAGAAGGTTTTAACAAGTTCTCTTCGAACTTTCAGGTTTTATTATTTTATAACTGCAGCACACATTAAATAAGACACCTAGGCTGAAGTCGAGTATGAGGACGTATAGTTCTGAAGTTGGGATCCCTTGAATTCCCTGCTGCTGTTATTCTGTTAAATTAGATTGTGGTAGTTATTGTTGTAGCTGGTGTTTGTTGTACTGGAAAGGACTCCATTGAAAGTCCTCTTCTGTGTATAGAGGAGAGGACTTTCAGACCGTGAGAACTATGCCATCCGTTAGCTGAATCTGGGGAGGGGGAACGGCATCTGGGTGCATGAGCTGGAGATCTTAACATAACTTAGTTCTTCAGACTTTCTACGGAAACGTCGCAACAGTGAAAATGCTCAAATGTCTTTTCCTTGTTTCTGATGGCTCCAGAGAATCATCAAGAATGGCTGAGGGAAGTGAGTCATTCTTCATAAAAAAAAAAAAAGCAACAGGAGCTTTTATTTAATTATTACATTTTTTGTTTTTTTCAAGTTTGACATAAAATTTCAAGCAATTCCAAGCTTGCAGCTCTCTGATCTATTTCAGTATAAACCGAACCCCGTTCTCCAAAGTGCGTTTCTTCCACTTCTCTGTGAAAGTCTTTTCTAGGCTTCTGTTCAGTTGCTCATCTACGAATTTGCCCCCTTATTAATGGGAGTGGTGCAAATGTGAAAGCATTTGCCCATCCAGGCAAATAGCCTGCTGCTTCACTTAACCAACTGTCAATTTGAATATATGGTGAAGATAGCAAGGGAAAAGAGTGGAGACACTCTTAGCATTGGTGCAAACTCACATAAGATCATGAAGGTATCCATAAGAATATTGATTGCACTGTGGCAGCTTCACTGAAAAATTCTGGTCAGGGAAGAAGGAAAAAATCTAATGTGATTTCTGTGTGTCTAGTTTGCAGATCTAGAGAAGAGCCCAGCCCTTATTATTATACGGGGAAAACGTAGCGGTCACTGTGGTACAATAATCCACTTACAAAAGCCACTTTTCAGAATAAAACTACACTTTAAAACTGCTGATTGCTATAAAAAATGAAAGGGAGTAAGTTTCAGGTAAAGCAGTCAGCGTCCCTTTTACCCTAAGCTTTTTGATCCTTGCTAACATTTCAGGGGTGTGTGTGTACAGATTACTCAGGAATAGAAAACATTTGCAAGGCCATGGTACGAACGTAGTTTTGTTGATGATTTTCCCAGTGTAATTCGCAACGTTTCAGCAGGGAACGAATGAACAGTGATTCATTCTCATTAGGCAATAAAGCTGTAGTTTCACTCTGGTCAAGGTACAAAGGAAGGACAGTTCTGTAGCTAGATGTTTTCTCATCATTTTTGATAGTTGCTTCTTTAAGTTGCCAAGTCCTTCATTGTATAATTTTTGAGCAGGGGTAGATTGGTATCAACACAGTGCAGCTTACCTACTCCACGTAATGTTTTTGTATTTCTTTAACCACTGAAAATTATGTAACGGAACCACCATGATAAATGTCTTACAGATTAATTTTAATTAGTATATACATCTGCTTTGTATAACATAGTATCTTTTACCTTGTACTAGTTCTAAGAATATTCTCTCTCTGTTATTTTTACATTATTTTTCCTGTTCTTTTTAGAAACCACAAGTATAAACTGTGACATAACACCCAACCCTCTCATGCTGTCATCCTTTGTGGATGAATATACAGGTAAAATCATCATTCTATCCTAAATATCTAATTTGCTCTCTAAAGTGCATATTATTTTAACGCTTGATATATGCATTTTATAATAAATCTGTGTTATTAATTAATTTACAATGGTCTTCACTGCTGGATGCAGCAGCTGCCAAGATGGGTTACTGCTCCCTGCTACTAGTAAATTTGTGCCTGCTACAGTGTGAAAGTTGGGATGAAACTGAGTCTCTAATATGCTGAGACAGAGCAGGCAAAGGTCAAGGAAACAGGTACAGAAAATGTCTTGATGTTTACAGTCCACCATGTCCAATCAGCCTGCAAGAGGTCATCTCTTCTTTCCCTCCTACATCAGAAAGAACCACTGCCCCCACAGCCCTGCTCTGCTTCTGGAGACTCTGCTTCAGCCTGGAGTCTTTCTGGAAGCCAGTTTTTCGTCTTGTTAGGGGCAGTAGCAGGAGCAGATGGGGTGCGGAAGGACAGGCACGCTTGCAGTACTGGGAACTACAGGATCCATGATACCTGCCCCCTGTATTTGCATTTTGTATTCTAGCTTTCCTTGTTAATGTAGCTCTTCCTGTAGTATTCTTATGATTATTTGATCTGTGCCACTTGGAAGGGTTAACTTTAAATTTACCCTCACTTTTTCTATGCTTCCTTAGCCTGGGTGGCGAAGTATGACTGCCTTGGAAACAAAATCCCATACTGTGGGGGACTACAGTGGCTTGCAGTGGCTTGCAGTGACTGTAAGCAAGTACAGTGTAGAAGAGGAGAGTAGACTGTGGTGTTTTTGTTTTTGTTTTTTTTTTTTGTATTTCTATTGGAAATGCAGAACAGAGAATAACTATCCTTCTCTCCTCCCACCACTAACCACAGAGGTCACTGTTGCCAGCTAAAGCATAGAGCTATTGTTTGTGTCTGCATCGTCTGTTAGCGGCAGCCCTGCAGTCGAGATTGGACTTGCCTAACAGTTACACAGCAATGTCACAAGGCAGAGGCTAGGTTGTGGCCAGAGCATGCCCTCCAGGGTATGGGGGGACCCTGGGGAGCTCACAGAAGTGTGCCTCAGGCCCATGCAGGCTATATACAGGCAATCTTCACTGCTTCCGGCTTTCTGCAAGATGCAGAAAACAGGTATGGCACACAGTGCTGATTTTTTCCAGCCACTGTAGAAACAGTTATTTCAAAGTTGTAAAGGTGCAGCTGCTGTGTCTGACTCTGGTATGGGGATAGAAAGGAAAAGGATCTCCTTTCACCCTGACTACTCTTCATTTAATTTTAAGAGGCTAGCAAGAAGTTTGGCCCTTTGTGTGTCATGTGTTTGTGCTGACACAACTATAATGAACAAGCAAAAGCGACTCCTGTACAAGTGGCTTCGATTTGTACCCACATGCTTCCTTTTTGTTAAACTGTCATTCTCACTCCTCTGGCCAGGATGCTGTTTGCAGAGTGTCTGCTTCCTGTTTCCTGTCTGAATGTATCCAGCTCTGGATGGAGGGTTTGACAGTGTATCAGGAAGCTAAGATGGATTTTTTTTTTTTCCCAGGAACAAATTCTTCCAACAGTTTCAGTAACACCGCACGCAGCAGTGTGATATCTCACAACACACTGCCCCTGAGATACAGCGTAATTGTTTCTCTGTGCTTACTGGCTTCTGACTGGACTTTATCCTTCCACTCAACTAATAGTCCGGTATCTTTGGGCTGGTACCTGAGAGCATTCCAGACACTCCCTGCTGTTAGAAGACAAGGCTCCCTTCCTTGAGACATTAGAGAGCAAGACCTTGAGTCTGCACTGGAGACTGGAGATGGGGCTATTATATAAAGGGGTTACTAGCTTGCGTTGGTAATGGTGGAATATAAAAATGGTGGAGTAAGTAGGAAACTTAACTAGCAAATTTCCTAAAGACCACCAGAAATATTTGGCATGTCGGGAAAGATTTCGGAGAGGAGAAGGATTTTCAATCCAGATAATATGTTTCATGAACAGATACCTATTATTGTATAAACACACACCTCTTGATAAATTATGAATAAGACCACTTTAATCGATTGAATAAAATTGCCAGTAATACCACACTGGAGGGTTTAAAGAACACATTTCAAACCCTCTTTCAAACCCTGATTTAGTGCTTAACCGAACAAGCAACACAGTTTAATGTGAGTCATGATAATTACAAATCATAACAAATCCTAATATTTTCAAGATAATAATTCCTAAATGCATAGTTGTAGAAAATTGTGTCTAAATTGCTTCAAATATTTCAGTGTTTAATGTCTCAGTGTTCTGTGCATATAAGAGCAGATTAAAGCATGGGACATATACCCGGCATTCCATACCAAAACCACAATTTAGCAAGTGGTAGGTTGGGGATTTGCAGTACAAGCCTGGATCCAGATTCACACTGAATCCTCTCTCCTTGGTAGAGTTAGCTAGGAGATATGAAAAGCCTTTACAGGTGGAAAATGCTGAAACACATCCCATGCAGCTCTGACCAGCGTCACTCTGACTTTGATTATACTCCGTGAGCAGGAAGGCATGTCCATGTGGAACAAATGACAGGCACAGGGCCTAAATGTGAAAATAAGTTTTGTGGCATGAACCCATCTCCAAGAAGTGGTGGAAATTTAAGTGGAGATTATGCTAAGTTTTTTAATCCTGGGCATGATATCATAGAGGGTGAATATATTGAAAGAGTGGTTCTCCATGCTTGTGCAAACATAATAGTACACTTCTGTACTGCTCTTAAGGGGACTTAGATTAGTATCTCATTGATTAACTGAAAATGCCAAACTAATATAAAATCTAACCAGAAAGTATACCACATTATTTGCAGCAGTAATCTAGTGGTCAGTACCTTTGAAATGAACCAGTGGATTTCTTTTCCATAAAGCAATATAATTTTTGTTACGCTTTTTCTTACAGGTGATATAGAATGGATTACAAATATCCCACCCAATGTAAATTTGACGTTAGAAGAATATTTATTCCCTGAACACTTACCATATGTGGAGCTACTAAATAATTTTGGATCTAATAATGCAACAGTGAGGACTCGTAGGCCATTGGATGTTGATTCTATTGAGGTATTATTTTCACTACATGTAAATCCTAGATGTAAAAGTCTTTTTGACAGGAGACAGAAGCAACACTGAGGCATAGATTTTAAGTGTTCATTCTCCTATGATATAAGTTGGAATTCCAAAAAAGTGACTCATCAGAAAGTGCCGTGTAGATTTCAGTATCTGCCTCTCAGGAATATCTGTGTTAAATGTCTTCAGTTTCCTACAACTGCAAACTTATCTGGGATCTTGCAGTCAAGTTGTTTCTTTCCTAATCACGTATTGTCACTTGTAATAAAAGCTGTAACTACTCAGTTAAGATAGGTGTCACTTTTATTGAAACTCATCTCTCAATAACATCTGAATAATTTCATCAGAGTGAGATTGTTCAGATATAACTTGCTAGGAGGTGATCCTTCATCGTGTGAACATTTGAAGCGTTTAACTGCATACATGAATAGGTCTACTGGCCTCTGCTGGTTAATGCATGAAGGGAATCAAATGTACGTCCTTCTTCCCAGCCGTGCTTGCTCCGACGGAGTACTAGGAGTCTATAAAGCAATAGTAATATGTTTTTCATCATTGAAATTGTTTCTGAAAATGTGGATGGTGTGGTTCTGCTGAGTAAGCAGAGACCATTTTTTATACAATCACTTTTTTGGAAAAGCACTGTATTTAACAGAACTGCACTGTATAGTGTTATAATCAAGGCTTCTAACTGATGAACAGGTTTTACGTTTGCATTTCTCATTTGGATATTTTCCAAATGGGTTAAAACATTTTCTTAACCAGTTTTATGACACTTCTTATGCTTCTTACTTGTATCGTTCTCCCATTCTCTGTCAATTTTCTATCAGGGAGAACAGCCGGGTGCATGGATGGTGGGATCTGGATGGGTGGATACCAGCAGTTGATGGATAGCAGCCAATTAAAAATGGCAATTGATCATCTGTAATGGAATTGTGTAGAGTATAAGAGAATGTGTTTTGGTACAACATACTGAAATGACAAAATTGGCTCAGGTATGCTCCTGTAACTGAATCACATGAACAATTCATTATCAGCTCGAAATGGCATGCTTGAAGATTCAGGTACCAGAAGCTGTTCTGGATCATTTTGCCATTTATATGTTGACAAAAACATTCGTTGACCATCATATTAGAAATTCACAGAACATAATACACAAACATAAAATAAATGTTTACATACATTATTTATTTCCTTGCTTGTTTATTTTAGAGTGACCGTCTCTTTTATGCTGTTGTTTGCCAAAGGATTGGAACGGTAAGTAAAAGGCATGTATTATCAAATGTGTTTTTTCATCTAAATTTAATGCAAATTATTATTTTTTGAAATATACAATCTCATATAAAAGATATGATGTATGGAATTATTGACTGCTTTACAGAAGATATATTTGTTTAAAGGTGCTAACTGGAACGAGTGTTATTGTTTTCAGAAAACCTAAGGTAAATTAAAAAAAACCAGTTAGTTTAAAGTATTTTCACGAGCTTTCTACTCCGTTACTAGAAATGGTAATCTGAGTCTTTCATTACAGAGTGTCACGTGATAAATGTTTAGAACAAAAGGGATATCTCTTTGAAGGTCTTATTTTATATGATGAAATTAAAAGTTAGCAGTATGTTGCCACCTCACTACTTTTATTTCTAATATATATTTTTTTCTTTTATGAAGGCTGACAAGATAGAGAATGCACGTGTTGTAATCTTACAGGATATAAATGACAATTCTCCAGAATTTCTACAGACTCAGTATAACACTTCAGTATCAGAGGTGGGATATGGCAAATGGGGATATTTCTGAATGTGATTATTATTTAGTTACTTTCTGGAGCCAAAGCATGTACAGTTCTAATGCAGCCGCTCAGATATAACATGGTTACATGCACACTTATGTGACTTTTCTACACCTTAGCGTGGTGTGGAAAAGAGAGGCTGGGCTGCGTGCACAGCTGGAGGCATGGGGTGAAGAAGGGATAAAACCTTCAGCTATCCGACCTAAGATGGAAATTGGAAGTAATTTGCACGTGCTAGGGAGGTGGCATCATTTTTATGCCAGTAGTGAGGAGGGAAGCCAAAAGGGTTCTGTGATGGAGCATTTGATGATGTTTATTTTCTCTAGGTATCTGAAGTAAATTTCACAGTTATAAAAGTGGAAGCTCAGGATAAAGATCTGTCACCTGCATTCAGTCTCATTAGTTACAGTCTTTGGGTGAGTACCTTTTGTTTGTCAGGGACTGTGAACACCGGGCTACATTGCATAGCTAAGTACAGACTGGAACCTGGTCCGCAGTATGATATTTTGCGCTTTACAGTTATCGTTACAAATCTGCAAAACGCTAGCATCATCAGAAGGACCGTGCTGCTATATGGAGAATATAATGAAAGAGAAGAACGAGTGTAACACCTCTTATAGGTTCTATCTTCCCAGATGTGTTACTGGGGATCACATTTTCTATCCCTTGCTGATCCATGGCTAACTTATCAGCTCCTGGTGGAAATACACACTAGAACAGTGTGGGCCACAATAACTTACACGACAGGACCAGCCTAGCATGCAGTGAGCCCTGAATCCATTTCTTAACATTTGTGAAATGTTCTGCGGTACTCTTTAGCTGCAGCTAAGGAACTCAGTGGTCCTTTTTAAAAGCAAAAGTGAAATTGTGTCCCCTGTTTTTACAGACTGTGCCTCAGAGCTTTGCTGTTGATCTCTAGCCCTGACAAGGTATATATTTATGGCACTTGAAGTAACATTATCTCAGCTAACTTTAGCTATCTGCAGTGCAGATGTCCACATCTGAGCTTACTATCTCAGCCCGTGTTATGGTTGGTAGAGGAAAGCAGTTCATCCGATCTGCTTTAGTTATCAACCATAGGATGAGATAAACCACAGAGAAGCACCTATTTCCCTCTATTTGCACATTGTAGCTGTGTAAAGTTTGATGAAGTTGGTACTACTTTTATGGTCCTACGTGGTGGGATCATAAGTGATAACGTCAAGCCTGCTATTAACAGGATACACTTCTAGGTGTTTCCCAGAAGAGAAAGTGTCCGATTAAAAACTTAGTTTTAAAAGAAAAGCGTGATCACAGATTTTTGTAGAAATTTTCATGAATTGTAGCAAGTCTGGTGGTTTTTAAATATACAAAGACTGATACTCATCTGATGAAAATTGCAATCTGTGGAAGTACATCAATTTATGCTACCTGAATATCTTTTCCAAGCCACCTAGGTCTATTTATTTTAATTTATTTCAGTCCTTACCAGTAGAAGTGTGAGAGAAGGAAGCGCCACAGAAGCTCAGAGTATTTTTTTATTTTCCATGTTGTTGCAGAAAAGGAAAAAAAAGGTGTGTTGCCAAACAGATTTTACTTTTCAGAGGGAGACTACCTAATACATAATGTTATGCAATTTTGTTCTGAAAATATGAGAATAAAGCATGAAATGAATATGAAACCTTTTCATATTCAAATGTCACGTTCCACATATGTTTTGCCAGTGACCTGGAAGCTTTTGGAGGAAGAGCATGTTGATTTCCAGACGAGCAAAAAGTTGTGATGTTGGCATTGCCCTCTCTTGCCTTGCCTTGCCTTGCCTTGCCTAGGAAGTGCAGTTTCAGTAGGTGGTAGCTCTCTCCAGCAGACATGGGCATCTGGCCACCAGTCTGCAAACAGAACCTGCTAGAGGTTTTTAGTTGTTGCTTACTAGTAGATCAGTCCCTAAGTTCTGTTTTCCATATCCAAGTTCCTCATCATCTTAACCGCTAATGTTTAGTGTTTCAGATCTATTTTTTGCAGCATGAGCAAGAGCTGATACATGTCGTTCTGAAACTTGCTAGTTGGTACTGTTTCAGTGTTTGAAACACTGATACTTCAGGGCGACTGTTTAGAAAGCAAGGGCCTACTTCTCTTTTTGTTGCAGTCAAGAGCAGATTTCCTACTTACTTCAGTGGATTTAGACCAAGACAGAAATGTTATCATTGTACAAGAATGGAAAGATGAATACCACTGTGCAATGGAGAGGGTGTCCTATGTTCCTGGGGAAGAGAGCTAAAATTTTTAGTTAATCTTACTGATAGATTGAGGAATTTTTGAAGTGTAGCTCTAGAGAGTGCTCTGTTGGGTTTATTTGACTGGTTTTGTTCCTGTTCAGATATACAATCTAGTGGCACTGACAGGAGAGACAATAGAATCGGATGAAGAGGATCAGCATTTTCCATTGTAGTGGTGGTGTTGGGGAGATTCCTGGTCCTTTATGAGGAATAGTTCAGTAAAAAAGGTGACAAGAGAAAAGAAAATGTATTTCATAATCATATAAAATATATGACTGATTCATTTAATAGGGTCCAAACTCCGATTACTTTTATATAAGGGAAGGAGATGGGAACATCATGGTGAAAAAACCTTTGGATTACAACAAGATCAGCCTTTTCAATTTAACAGTCCAAGCAAAGGTAAGCAAAGGTATGGTATAAAGATATGTATATCTGTTTCTAGAAGGAAGCACTTCCTCCGACAGGGAAATAAGAACAGCCCCGCTGACACAGAACAGAAGTCCTTCCAGTCCAGTTTCCTGTCTCTGACACATAGCACTACTGAATTAAAAGAAGAGTGAGAACCAGCGTCTTCTGTGCATCTTTTGTGTTTAATTGTGAATTAGGAGACTTTAATGAATTTATTAATTATCTGTTGGAACAATTTATGCTTTTCCACGTGACGTTGTTGTTACCGTTGGTGTTGTGTTATGCAGGTACTTCCGTTTGTTTGTTTAGAGTTTCTTAGAGCCAAAGGTTTGCTGATTTTTCCTAAAACTTCAGGTCTCACTTAGTCTAGGTCTGCTCAGTGTTGGCAAAGATATAATGCTGGTGGTCTCCACTTCCTTTTCAGGCAGTGCATTCCTCCTTCTATTGCAAGATACATCCTTCCACTTCCATGTCACAGCACGTGACAAACATGAATATACTGAGTAACACATTCTATCTCTTTTGTGACTTGAAAATCTCCCTGTGAGATAATTATAATTTTTTTTGTAAATGGGACAGATAAGGCTAGATGGCTCGTGAACTGCTTATGCACAATAACTCATGGGATTGCTTCCTTTATGTTTGCTAATGTGAGTAAGAACGCTACACTCTGGGTCTGAGAGATTAAACTGAGTGACTCAACAAATTTCATACTGGAATTGTTTTGGCAGTGTCAGGAGCAACATCCAAATCTTGAGTTCCACTCAGGCACTTAATTCCGTTTGGCAATGCCCTCTTTAAAATTCCTTCCTTCAGCCAACATCATCGACTATCTCTGGTCCAAAACAAGGCTAGACATGTTAGCACATAATTCGTTAATATATTTAAAAAGTTTCTCCTTTGATATCTAAATAAATTTAGGCTTGGTTCTCTTTTCCACAGTGCTGGCTCATATTGCAGTCAGAGAAGCATGCTCTTAATGTTTGAGCCAATTGTTTGAGTCTCCCTACAAATATTAGCACAAGTTTCTTTCTGTGTCCGTTATGTATATAGTGGCTATTATTCTTCACTATTCGGTCACATCTTCACCTAATCACTCTGGTGGATCTAACTTATCCTGTTTTTGCTGCAGCTTACCAGCTGCAGTCTTTTTGTGCATCTGTTTTGGAATTTGATTATGTGTTTGCCTTTGATGCCTTTTGGAACTAAAAATATATCCTTTTGCCATGTTTATTTGTGGTGCCTGGCAAATGGTATAGCTTATGTACTGTTATCACATTTTACATGCTACTGTCTAACACACGTGATATAAAATTAATACCTCAGAAAAACTTTTGATAGTATTATTTCTGAAAATGGCTCTCTAGAAAAGGAAAAATCGGATAAGATCAGACTTTTCAACTTGAGACTGCTTAGACACTACAAAGCACATGTAATTATATTCTGCCGTATTTTCCACGGAAAATGGCTCTTTCATTACAGTGTTCTTATTTTCTTCTTTCTCTTGGGATACAGGAAAGACTTGGAAACAACAGTGGTAATGCATCATTACTAATTAATGTACGGGATTATGACACGTTGAACCCCTATTTCAGTCAATCAGTGTACAACGGAACAATCAGTGAAAAACAGGTAAAAGCATTTCACTGAATGCTACAAATGTAAATAGCTTATTCTTGTCCGCTGTGTTTACTCTCAAGGAGTCTTTCTCATGCAGCATCTTAAGATGGATTAACGGAGGGCTGCTTTGTTTTGTGCTAACTAGTGAAATTTGTGTTTCTCAACTCTAAACTTCCAAATACGAGGTAAACAGTCCACATATTGTATGAAGTATAAAGCTTTCTGCCACAGAAAAACAAATTCTCCTGCCACTGCAGGTAAAAAAAAAACAAAACCGAAATCACTAACTAGGAATTGTAACAGGACTTTTACTGTAAACTTGGAAGGGCAGCTGACTCTACCCATCAGTCCTGGAGTTAGCTGCCCCATCTCAGTTTCAAACTAGCGTAATTTCTTCAAACTTTGTTACAATCAGATAGGCAAAATAAGAATCTCAGCTGTAAACTATGGTTTATATGTTATTGTAATATTCTTTCTGCACAGGGGCAGGACAGGTGATGTAATTTCTGTATGGAATGTTTTTAACCTTGATTTCTGTATGTATTCAACAAAACAAAATCTCAATCTGGAATTACCAGAGTAATCTGCTCAAATTAAAACAGTTAATTCTCCTCTTTGTTATCCCTATTTCTTTATCATTATCTTCATATTAGCATACGTTAAACTACAAATGCAATTGGTATCATACCTTTTGTATCCTTTTTGTTAGAAGCTCATCTTTAATTGTCCAAGAGGAATCTTTTTAGAACTTCTAATTATTTTTTTTTGTTGTTATAAGTAAGTTGCTGGTTTTATTAGGGCTATAGTTTAGACCTGCATATTGTTTTCCAGGAGAGGAATAGAACTGAGACTTTCTATATCCTTAATATAAGTTCCATCAGTGACTACTGCCATGTAGTCTGATGTTTCTTAAAGTGAACATAGTGTATCCATAAAGTATTTTGCTCATCATTTTCCTCTGTAAAGCCAGTTTGGCAGAGAGAGAATTTTTTTCTGGATCCGAGTGATTAAGCATATGTTTCTTATTTCTTCAATCAAAATTGTAATGTATGTAATGAATACATTTAAGTTGATGTGTATATTTTTTAATTAATCAGTTATGTATATGTTCTAGATTGGTCCTCTGGCTGTTCTCCCAGAGAAGATATTAGCTAAAGATGGAGACACAGGTATAAATGAAAAGATATTTTACAGCATCAAACTAGGTAAGAGCCTTTATTTTCTTCCACACATGTGCATTCAAGCTGTTACTTATGATGTCTGTGTTACTGAAGAGAATAGTAACAAAGTGCAGCGTACAGTCAGACAATGTCCTAGCTGTGTACGTCTTCACTGCGCTACTGCTTTGCAAGCTGAGTCAGCTTAGTTTCAGTGATTCAGAGATTATTCAGTGATTCAGAAGGGCCCAACTATTTCAGGAATGCTTAGATGTTCTTAACCGCCCCTAAGTAAACAATTCCTGATTCAAAATGCAATAGATTCATCTTAGTGGTTTCCATTGGATCGATGGGTTTCAATTCAAGGATCATCCCGACAGATTAATTTCCTAAGTAGATATTCCTTTTGATAGAGTCACTAAAAGCCCATGAGATGCTTAATTTGAGATGCTTGAAGTGTAAGTGAATTTCGTAAGCATCGTTTCAAAGACAAAATATTTGAAAAATATTTTTATCTGGAATGTCTAGTAATTTTTGCTGTGGCTGAGGAGATACCGGTCATACAAAGGACAGATTAGTTTTACAGTTGTGGTTCATTCTCACAAACCCATTGTGTTTTGTCACTTTTCAGTGAACCCTCCTGCCTACAACAACAGTTTTTCAATCGATGCAGACAGTGGAGTGCTGAAAGTAGATACTGAAGTTGACAGAGAAAAATGTCCTTATCTTATTGTTGGCCTCCAGGTAGTGATTATTTTGCAGCTCAATGTGTTAGTACCAAGTCTGAATTTCATCAGCTAACATCAGAATCTTATGTTGGTGTTAATAATATTCATGCTATTTTTTAACCATGGTAATGGTAAGGGGCAATTGCTATCAACATTCCATTATACAGGTCATTTAAAACACAGAATAAAGGGAAATTCACTTCAACAATGTGTGTAGTCATACCATATCATTGTACTAAGAAGAAACGGCTCGATGTTATCAGGATATGTAATTTACAGCTATAAATTCTGTTCTCTAGGCAGCTCAGCAGGACAATAATCTCAAAACAGCTGATGCAATAGTGCTGGTTACTATTGAAGATGTGAATGATAATTCTCCAGTACTGTCACAAGCAAACTACAATGTCTCAATTCCAGAAAACTCCCCAGATGGGATGGAAGTTCTTCAAGTAACAGCTATTGACGAAGATGAGGTAAAATGATAGTATCATTGTGGTTGCTACAAATATTACACTTCTGAAATATATGATAAAATGCATTTTGCCTCATATAGGTATAGTGAACAGTGCTACAGATTTTTTTTCTGATTACCTAGATGTCATTAACCAAAACACACTGAATTTCACTGCTTTGAGGAGGAGGGTACGGCAGCCAAAGATTCAATTTTGGCTGTCTTTGAAACTTTTCCAGTTTGCAGAAGGTCTTGAACATGAAAATGCGGAAGTGCAAAAGGGACGCAAAGCTTTGAGCGGCCCTCTGCCTGGGTGATAGATTTCTCCTGTGGTGCTTGCTCTTCTCCCTTTTTAATTTTAATTAAACTAGAAGGTTTAATGCTTTCCCACCTGAAAATTGAGAAGAAAATAGCCTAAGAGACTAGCTCAGTGACTGTCTTATTTAATAACAAGTATCATTACTGTTTGCAGGGAGGCTTCCAAGGAACGTTCATTCTTGCTCCGGCTGACAGTCCCTTCCAGCTAAGTGAAGCTGGGATCCTAACTGTGAGGAACTCCACTCTGTTAGACAGGGAGAAAATACCGTCTATCCACCTACAGGTATTAAAAATAAGCCTACTCCTTTCCAAAAGCAGACTGAGATAGACAGGTGATATCTGATCTGTCCTGGGAAGAGGCTGGCCAGATTCTGACTCTCACTGAATGGACTGGGAACGACTTACTTGAAGAATCAAATCCAGACTTTCGTGTTAGAGCTTTCTGGAAGAAAATACCCCTAAAGTGATGCTTTTTACTCAGCTTGTAAAAATATTCTGAGCTTCTTACTGTTTGTAGAATGTGCATTTGAACAAAACTGTGATTTTCCTGCATCATTTTTAAAGGTTGCTGCTAGAGATCATTTGCCACCTTACTTTGAGGTGCAGTCTGCAATCAATATATTGCTACTGGATGAAAATGACAACACCCCCACTTTTAGAGGCACACCATATCAAGAGGAGATTTTCATCAACATGACTGCAGGAATGTCCATTCTTCAGGTACTAGAAGTACTAAGTAAATGTGACATTTTTGTATGAGTTGAATGTATGCCCGAGTCCTTGCTTAGTCCCTTCACCTTGTGTACTGGTCCTTTTGAATAGGGGATCTTTTCTGTATTCCTTTGAATTCAGAAAATGATACAATTGTACAGATTTTTGAAAAGCTGCTGAAGCATTGTAGATGATTTTTAGATAAGGTATATTCTTCATAAAATGGTAAACCAGTTAACCAAGTAAACCGGGAAATCAAGACAAAAATGGCTTCAGGAACTTACCTGGGACATGTAGAGAGTCACTATCAAAACACTTGGCCAGGCACAGTGAGTTAATGGCCCCTGCTGTAATTTGTTGAATAATCTACTTCCACTCACTTTAGAATTAATATGAAACAGGCCTTCTGAGCCTGGTGGTGTCATTCACATGAACTTCATAGGGGCAAGATTTCACCCTCGCTGCTAAAGTGATACAATTTTGATGAAGCATGTGCATCAGAGGACAGACATTCTAACTTAGATTTAACCCAGGAATCATATAGGAAATAGAGAGTCAGTCAGTTAAAGGTATAGCAAAATATTGCTGTGGCTGTATTTGGCTGATTTTTATAAAAAATGCCAGGCCTATAATTGCTATATATACATATATATATACACATAGGCATACAGACATAGATATATGTATGTAGTTTATACATGAGTGTGTGTGTGTGTGTGTGTGTGTAGTTTTTATATATGTATATATGTAGTTTATTGTAAATAAAAATTTTTTAAAGGCATACACATCTTTAGTTATCTGCTACCTGAATGATTTTCTCTGCAGACTACACAGAAACAAGCGATTCTCTTTTACTTGATAACAGCACAATAGCATACAGTGAAATTATTTTTTCTCTCCAGGTTGCAGCTGATGATCCAGATGATGGCATAAATGGAGAGATAAGGTTTATCTTAGCAGGCGGCAATGAAGATGGATACTTTGAATTGAATACATCCACAGGACAAATCAGTTTAAAAACAGTGATCCCATTAGGAGTCAACCAGCTTAAGAACTTTGTCTTGTGGATAACAGCTACTGATGGTAAGACAAGATTTTAGTACAGGTCAACAAAGCTATCCTCTTTGAAAGTTTTTTTTTTTAACTTTAAGGAATGCTGTCAAAATAAACAGGCTGCCGTATTTCCCATGTATGTTTATCTGCTTTCACTTGTTGAAGGCAAGAAGACTGCTGCCTCATTCATCCAAAGTAATAGTTGCGTCTCTGATAAAGCTCCACTTCCTGCTGATGCTGTTATGTCAAATCTAAGTTGTATAACTTTCCAACTTCCTTTACCTTAATTATTGACTGGTCCTGCACAGGGTAGAATACTGATGTTCAGGCACACACGTAGGAATTTATAATTCAGTGATCATGCAATACTGGAGCCAGGAGTAAAATGAAAGTAAAAATGATGAGCAACTTTGTGCTTGCACATCCATGAGGGTATGAAAAAATTAAAATGGAAATGCCAAAGCCATTTTTTGGGTGACCAGCACAAATGTTGTTTCCTCTGATGAAAGTTTCTTTGCTTGTTTTAAAAAAACAACAGACAGCTCAGTGAACATTCGTGGTCTGAAAAAGGGCAGAGATAAATGTAACCTAGAAATGGTATCGCATTCCTGGTAGTATGACCATCCAAAATGTTTTTCAGCATTCTGATTTTTCCCTATCATCTGATTTGCTCAGTATGAGCTTTGTGTCTCTAAATCGTGGCCTTGTGGATAAAATGGGTACTGAGGGAGCACAGTTACAAAAGGGATGCACTAGCCCATCCTTTGGCTGTCTGCTGTGCCAAATAGATAGTATGTTCTTCATGTTCATGCAGGATATGTGTAACACCGAGCACATGAAGCTCTGGTCTTGGTTAAGACCTCCCAGCAGTACTAAAACAGTGGCAATAAGGATAATAAAATGTCTGTACTAGTGGAAAAGTGTAATTTTTAGGCAGAAGGTATTTTGTGGGTCTGCTGAGAGATTGTTTTCTTTTGCTTGCAGGTGGGCTGGTTCCAAGAAGTTCGTCAGTTCCCGTACACATCTTTGCAGTTGGAGATTCCAGACCTCAGTTTATTCGCAAAGTGTATAATGCATCTGTGGAAGAAGAGCTGGCCAGCCATGTTGAAGTAGCGAGAGTAAGTACAACTTTATTCTATCACCTGTATAGGACAAGTCAGCTAAAGGAAAAAATAAGTGCTCTAAATGTTTATATCCCCCTAAGTAGAATATGGATAACTAGGTGATGTGTTTTTCTTTCTGCATCTTGAGCTTCACCTGCATTGCATACAGATCATGCCACGCAGATGAAGCCTATCACACGCTGCGCCTTCTCTCTCTATTGCAGACCTTTAAACAGCATCTGCTACTGTTTAACATAAAAACACAGAACTGCTTGAGGAAGTAAACTTTTATGCTTAGTCCTTTGTTGACTTTGGACATTCCCCGAAGCCTGTAGTGGCCCCAACCCTAGGACAGACAGTATTTACTCATCTGTCGGTTATAAATCTAAAACTCTGTTACACGATATAGCTAGGAAATGGAAACTTAGAGCGTTAGAGACAGTTAGAGAACTGTCAAAAAGGCATTCTCTAAGAAGGCTCTGGAACTTACTTCCCATTTTGATCCAAAAATGCTCAGGAAAGCTGGCCACCAGAATGTGCTGTGAAAGCTCCTTCTCAGACACAGTTCTGAAGACAGAGGAAGGTCTGATACCAAAGCCGAAAGAATATAATGGGTTTTAGTGCTTTGATTGCCTGAGTTAATTTTTTTTTCACTTTTTTAGTAAAGAAACGTGGAACCAAAGGCTGAAGTACAGTCTATTATTTTTATTATGTGTTATACATATTTACATTTCTGTATCAGTGATGTTCCGATAAGAGGCAGTCCTCTCAATTTGTGATTTTATATATATTGTGGCTTCATTCTCACTGCTTTTAATGAGTAAAATAATGTGTAAAGTGAGTTGGAACAGTTAAAACAATTATTTTTTTTAGGCAGTGAATTATTGGCTTGAATTTATTTGTGATATGCTATGTCTTACACAGGTAGAATTTGAGTCTTTAGATCCCCATATACCAGTAACATTTAAAGTACTGACAGAATCAGCTACATTTGACATCGATGTCAATGGAATCATCTGGACAAAAACCAAACTGGACTATGAGTCTCAGAGTAATTACACCCTAAATATTTCCTTGTCAGATGGAAATGCTACTGACTATGCTACCGTGTTTATCAGAGTTACAGATGTCAATGACAACAGTCCTGTGTTTGGTGTAACCAGCACTACCATTAATATTTTGGAGAATGCGCCAGTTGGAACTATTGTTATCAACGTGTCAGCTACTGATGTGGATGAGGACTTCAATGGATTTGTGGTTTATACTCTGAAAGGTGGAGAGGGAAAAACAGATATTGACTCATCAGGATCAATTTTGCTGGAAAAGGAACTGGACAGAGAAGCACAAGAATTCTATAACTTAACTGTTATTGCCAGTGACCAAGGTCAACCCGTGCTCTCTACAGCACTCAATCTGACAGTCATCGTTGATGATGTGAATGACAATCCTCCAGTCTTCATATCAAGTAGATATGAAATGAGTGTCATTGAAGATGAAGTGCTTGGGAAGACACTACTGACAGTGTCTGCTACCGATTTGGATGCTGGGGCCAATGCTATGGTGAAGTACAGAATTGTCAGCCAGCGCCCTTCAACCTCCTTGCCTGTGTTTCTTGTCAATATGACCACGGGCCAGCTCAGCCTAAGCCAGCAACTGGATTATGAAACCGTAAAGCAATTTGAAGTAGAAGTGGAGGCATCAGATGGAGGGCAGCCAAGTCTCAGCACTACCACACTTGTTCTTCTCCATGTGCTAGACATCAATGATAACCCACCAGAATTTAATCAGGCAGCTTATGATGTATTTGTTTTTGAAAGCATACAAAAGGGTAGTCCTATCTACGCGTTCAGTATTACTGACAAGGACGAGGTAGGTACTAAATTAATCTTGTCTTACTTGTCAAGATGATATGATTTCCTCCATTAGCTTAATCTATAAAAAAGCATATTAGCAGATGGGCAAAGAAAGATTTTTAAATGCTTGGCAATAAATGCATTCTGGTTCACAGAAGCTTGATTCTAAGATGCCAGCAATAAAACCTCCTTTACCCAAGAAGGATTTAAGACTAAACTCCTTATTATTCCCAGTGACCCTCTGCAAAATAGTTTCCTGGCTAGAGAAATATATATGTAATGTGGGACAGAGAAAGTTATGTGTTTGTGTGCACATGCATATGAATATATATGTATGTCACGCCAGATAGATATTAGATTTTTTTAAAGCATTGTGTGCATAAAGCATGGCTTATTGTGTCAAAGTAATTAACACTGTTTTAATACAGCTTAATAATTCACTTCTGTCTGAGAACATTTGATAGTTTATTTCTGTAATACAGTCAACCTGCCCTTCGTATCACCTTGATCAGGGAGAAAGAAATTGTAAAGTTGATATAGTTTTTTTTCTTTAATAGAAAATGAAACAATTTTACTCTGCTTTGTACAAAGTTCTTTCTTTCTCTCCTTGCCTTATAAAGAAATTTTATATGTAGCCAGTGGGGAGCTGGTTTGGAGGAAAAGATTTCTGCTTTGCTGTAATATTCTTGCTCATGTCAGTTTTAAAGAAGCGTAAAAGCTTGTCCCAGTTCACACTGCACTAAGCTGTGTGTTGCTGCTCTCCGCGTTGTGGGTTGTTAGTCTGCATGGGATGGTCCTGGTGTGTCTGTCATCTACATAATGGCAAATACAGTTGAGATAATCAAAAAGTGTTTGTTTACCTAAGACGTCCATTATTCCCGTAGCTCAGTTTGGAAAGCTTCATTTATTCAATCTGGCACTTGTGCTTCAAGAATGAAGAGTCCTATAGAAACGTCTTAATGTAGATAATATTTTTTTTAATCTTAAATATTTGTCATCTTAATCGTAAATAAACTATGTTTTCTTTTTAGGCTGGCTTTTCTCAGGGACACTTTGTTCATAACAGTACTTTGTTTACTGTGGATATCCCTGGAGTACTTTCATTAAGGAATGACACAGAACTGGACAGGGAGACTGCATCTGGATTTACTTTACAAGTAAATTTGGGGGCAGATTTGCAGCTTTGACCCGTTTCTACTTTATTCCCCTCACCCCTTTTTTGCATCTTCATCAGCTAGCTGAAATGACAGTACAGTCAACTAATATTCCATTTCCATTTCTTGCTTTGGCAGGTATGGGCAGTTGATGCTGAAACGAACGGGCTTAATTCAAGCGCCTTGTTCCATATCACAGTCCTGGATGTCAATGATAATAACCCAGAGTTTCAGATGCTGCCGTACAGTTTTGCAGTCCTAGAGGGAGATTACATATTAGGTGCTCCTGCTGTCGTTGGACATGTAGCTGCTACGGATTTGGATGAAGGAGAGAATGCGCGAATTACATATTACGTATCAGCTGTGGATGGGGATAATCCGTATGCCATCCAACAGGTAAAGGTTTGGATATGCCGAAAACAATATCTAGATACTGTTTTTCTCCAGGTTACTTGGCAGAGTTATTCTCATCAGGTAGAAAGAATTGTCAGTAACCATTCTAGCATGCACGGAGGCAAAAATAACACTCAGACCCAGTCTGGAAATGCAAGTCCAGGACCAAAGGCTAAGTGATACTGGTCAGATGTTGCTTTGAATCCGAACTATATTTGTCTAAAGGAGAACAGAGGATTTCAATCCCTTATCTCTTTTGAGAACTCAGTGTACAAGAGTGGTACAAAATGATCAGTGCACTGAACTGTATTACCTTCTCTAGGATGGAACCATTTTGGTTAACGGCTATGTAGACCGAGAAACCAAAGAGAATTATGAGCTGCTGTTGGTGGCATCTGATAATGGAGTACCTCAGAGGCAGGTAACAGAGAGGATCACTTTATTCTTGTATCAACATCCTTTTATTCATAAATTTAAATGTGTATACATTTTCTTTCATGGTTTTCTCCTGTCATCCCTCCAGAATTTCACATATGTCAGCATTCAAGTATTAGATGTGAATGATAACCCTCCTCAATTTATGAAAACACAATACTCAGCCAGCGTACGTGTAGCAACGGCAAAAGAAGCAGTTTCTGTACTGTCGGTGTCTGCTACTGACCTTGATGTTGGGAACAATTCTGTTATTTCATACAGGTAAATTTCTGTGAGGTGAATAAGTATCTTTCGTTAAAGAAACAGAAGAGTATTTTTATTTCACAGAGGGACACAAGAAGATAAGACCTATTCATAGATATTTTACAAGTGCTGTCTTCAGTAATCATTTTTAAACTTAGGAAAAAGGAGTGCTATTTTTACTCAGTGTTTTAGAGCTCTACAATGCCAAGACGTGTTTGTAATTCTGAAATTTTGTATAACATGTTGGAGTTTCTGAGTAGAAAGCAGGATGATCTCAAAGAATGACTATCATTCTGTTCACACATCATGTACTTTCTAGGAGGGGGAGATCAGGAAATAGTAACTTCCATTATGAGCTATGCATAAAAAGTTAATTGAAGAAGGTTTTGGATGAGACTTGTATCGTGGAAAATACCATGGTATCCTGACATCAAAAGTATATAGATTGAGAAGGATAGTTGAATGAGTCAGAAAATTGTGAGTATTTAAATATAGTGTACTGAAAGAGATTATTTTTAGCTATGAGACGACGTTCTACTTTAAACATGTTATTTGTTCTTGTGAGCAAACCAGTTACCCTCAGGAGTGTGCAGAACACTAGGAATTAGCAGGATTGCCGTCTTCAAATGAACGTCACCTGCATTTCTTGGGTTGCTGAACTGTAAGCAGCTGAGAGTGTAGTACCTGCCTTCTGCTCATGGAAAATCAAACACTTGGGATATAATGGAAACTGAAGGCATGAATACTCTCTTTCCTCAGGATGAAAGACACGCTTGGAAATAAAAAGGCGGATGTGTTTAGGCTAATGACACAGCAATTAAAACATGCTGCTTAACCATTCTTTATAAATCGGCAAATACTACCTGTTGGGTGCTTGTTAGAGTAGTTTTAACAGTAAGTAGAGGGTACTTCCTATGTCATTGATATGAATGTTATACTGATTTCTCTCTAATACAGTTTCATGAACCATTCTGATGATTTCCATATAAATAACCATACTGGAGAAATCACTCTCAGCACTAATTTGGCCCATATTACAGCTGATGCAGTCATTACACTGATAGTTATTGCTGCTGACCATGGAGTTCCTCAGCTTACATCAAATGGTAAATGATGTCTTCTCAACTTTTTTTTCTTCCCACATAGTATCCAAATGCATTGGCAACTTCCATGGTTGCGTAACCTTTACAAGCATTGAAATTTTCGATAAATCCCACCACAGTGAAGTCAAACTGAATTATGGCTAGAATGCCTGTTACATTTCAGCAATGATGAACACTTATGTGGTTGTTTCTTTTTTTATTCTTTGATTTCCTCCCAGCTGATCATATTAATAAAGGACTTAGTTTAGTAATCCTGATTAGAAATATGATTTCTGTATTTACTGCTGTGGTATTCCTGGTACAAAGAACAGGACTTGGTGGTAATAGGCACTCTAAAAAGATGTGTTAAAATCATAGTGGTAAAGTGTGTTTCTCTTTCAATTTTTCTTAATTTTCTTAGAATTAGAACATTTAACCAAATTAACAAATGGCAAAGATCCCTCTGCACAAGTTTCTATTCTTTCAAAAAAATATTCAGTCACATGATATTTTCTATAACCATTCTTTCCATGTAATTTTAGGGGTTAGTTTTGATTGCTCATGAATAAAAGGCACACCTGATTTTCTTAAAATAGGGTGACTGGCCCTGATAGAATTTGCGCTTGTACGGTTTTATATATATCTTTCCCCTTTTGGTACAAAGCTATTTAGCTTAAGACTTCGCTTCTTTGGATCCCTAGGAAAAAGGAAGCTGAGAAGGATGTGAACTGAGGGCTGGAAAGCAGTTGCATATCCTTTTGATTTCAAATCGCTGATCCTTGCTCTGCTTCTATTCTATCAGAGCAACATCGCTGTAGTCAGTGAAGCTGGGTTATTCTGTGATGTTAGCTACGTATAAAAGTCATTGTGTTTTATGTGATACATATTATTCCTTATCACTGTTGATTTTTTCTTTTAATTCCTCTTTGCTACATGCCAGTTTTTGTCAATTTCTGTTAGTTCCTTAAAACTTAGAGAAATACAGCACAGGTCATGATTATTTTAAGAGTAATTGCACTATTTTTTATGTGTTTTCTCTCATTAGCCTCTGTTACTCTCTACTTGCTGGTAAATAACACTGACTTTGGACTGATTTTTGAGAGCTCCATCTATGAGTTCAGCATTCCAGAAGAGGAACCGATCAGGACTGCCGTTGGCTCTGTGAAGGCTCTGACTGGAAGCCAAGCTGTACAAGTAGTATATTCTCTGAAATCACATAGTGACAAGTTCTCTATTAGTGAGCAAGGAGACATTATGACTCTTGCCAGGCTAGACCGAGAAGAAGACGACCTCTACAGCATCATTGTAGAAGCAGTTGATTCTGTGGTGCCACCCAATACAGCTGTTGCTTTGGTACATGACATTGCATTTTAAAATATTTTTTAAAAAGGAGTGTAATGTTAAGATATAAAAACAATACCCGAATAATAGTGTAATCTGTTATGCAAGCATGAGCATTTTGAGTATTTTGAGAGCTTATTTGCATTTAATTTCTGTTTTTTCTAAGGGGATGTTACCATCTTGAAATATTGTCAACGTCAAAAATTGTATCACATCCTGATAGAGTTGCTCTGTGAACAACCCCTAATCGGAGAAACTGAACAACACTGAAACTGATTCTATGTGTAGTTCTCTCAAATGCATGAAGTAGATGAGCTAAAAAGCCCTGGATTATTAATTCTGCCCATCTCTCCTAGTTTATATAGTTTGGCTTACTTGTAGCAGTGAAGAGTAAAAAAAATCTGAGATGGAAGTTGTTTTGTATCCCCTTGGTTTTTTTGTCTGTAGTGTTCCATAGACCTAAATAACTGTTTCCGTAGCTCAAATATATGCTTCTTTTCTCAATGCAGGTAACTGTCAGGCTGAATGACATCAATGACAATCCTCCAGTTTTCTCAACATTGATTCAGACTAAACTATCAGCTCGTGAGAATGAAAGCATGCTAGACTTGGGCATATTTTCTGCTACTGACCTGGATATAGGAGTTAATGCACTTTTAAGCTATTCTTTGCAAGATGATTTTGCTGGAATGTTCCATATTAATAGTTCCACTGGCAAGCTGATGACAATGCAATCCTTAGACAGAGAAATGACGGACAGTTATGAACTGAAAATAATAGTAAGTTGACAGATTTGATGTAAGTTTGCAAGATTCTCAACAGAGAGAGAGAAAGAGAGAGAGAGAATACTGAACCATCACAAGAAAATTCGTCTTAGTGAATTCCATTAGAATTCGTTCATGAGTTTTGACTGTTTTTAATGTGTTTTGTACCCAGAACTTTATTTTGCACCGTGTAAATTGTTATTAGTCAATAAATGACCCATGAACACCAGATCTTAAACATCATAAAGCCACACTCTACCTTACTGTGAGACCTGCAAAGAATTCCTGAGTCCGTTTTAGACTGCGCAGCTGCCATGCTGCCATATTTCTTTATTTGCTTTGCCAATCCAAATTGTTTGTCCCTTTCACTTAGTTTTTTCGCTTTTCAAAATGTGTATATTTAGACTGTTTAAAAATACGTGAAATGAATTTGGATATCCCTGTTAAAAATGTAAAAGCGTAGAGTTTCATCCCACTACATTTATTTTATAAGCATCTCTCTATTCTCGTTGATTCCATTGATTCTGTTGCTGTTAATCAGTTAAATTGATGTTTAAGCCTACAGATGACTGTTCCACTATGTACAAACGTACTTCAGGGAGATCTTTACTGCTGACTTAGATTACCTGACTGAATTATTTAACGCAGCAAGGAACTCACTGGAATTATTCAGAACTACGAGGAAGCATATTAAAAACTGAACAGTGTCTTCTGAAAATTCTAGAATTAATAAATGTAGGCACTTGTTAAGATTAATTAAGAATTGTGTATATGATCCTCTAGGTTAGGAATTTTCCAGGGCGGATGTTAGTGCAATGTAAACTACACTGA